GCGTTCGTTCCTTATTATCCAATCTGCATCTCAGCTTTCTTCCTCACTGAAGATGTTTCATGGGAATCATGCTGATTATTTTGTATTCGGATTTCCTCATGGAAGAATAAGATGCTGCTGATTGTAACCTCCTATAATTGGAGAATTTATTTATTCATTTGCTCCCTCACTTGCGGGATTATTTTCTTTGTTCTGTTCCCACCCTCTGCTTCGCAGGTGCCTGCAGTAGCGCGTCCATCATCTCCTCGGCGCGACGCCTGGCCGCACCAGCTCCACGCCAATCACCTGGGCGTCCACTCCTCCGCACCAGCTCCATGCCAATCACCTCGGCCGTCCACTCCTCGCACACAACCGACGGCACCAACCGCGGCAGGTCCGGCGTGCCGCCGTCGCCATCCCGCAGCGACATGTGCGTCAGGGAGCGGTAGCCGCCGGCGCCCGCAATACGTCCTCAACCCACGGCGGTCGTCCTTGCCATCCGAGGCGCGTGCTGCTGCTCTGCTGGACGGCGACCAACCTCTGGCCGTTCCCCTCTGCACTCCACCTCATTCAGCAGCGCCGCATTGGTCCGTTGAAGCCGAGGGCAGGGGAGATGGATAGAGTAAAGGGAGCCGGCTGCGGCTGGCTCCTAGGCTCGAGCGGCGCGGATGCCCGCCGCGACGCATCCCCTTCGTTGGCTTCTGTGGCGTGAACGTCGTAGGCAAGTGGCGGCGCGTGCCCGGCGGTGGAGGCAGGCACTGGATTAGTGGCGGTGGTGGCAGGGGGTTTTCTGCAAAAAGAAAAAACGAAACGTTATCCATCAGTAGCATACTTTAAGTAGGAGTGCGGATTAATTTCTCAGAAACTGGGGGACTTTTTTGCAAAAAGGCCGATGACGGACGACCAGAAACCTAATTTGCTTTATTTATTATTAAAATTAAAATTAAAAATTAGGTAAAGATAAGAGTGTTCAAAAAATCACCCGCAAAAAAAATAACAGCGTTCAAAGACTATGGAAACAAAATTTAATTCTTACTTTTCTAAAATAAAAACAAATTGGACTCTTATTCTTTTGAAGAAAGAATGTAGAGGAAACCATCCGCGCCATTTCTCTTTCAAAGTAAATAAAAGGGTCTCAACAAGTTTGTTAGACCTTGTGCGATGCAAGGTCCTTAAAGAAAATAAATCGGTTTTTTCTTAAACATCGATACTTATTTGTAGAGAATAGATGCTTAATTAGACCCTCTTCTATAGAGATACGCGATGATGCTTAAGAAAAACTTGATTTATTCCACAAAGCATCTTATATTGTACAGTGCCTTAGTGTGATATATATAGCTTGTAAAACCATTCAACCACCACGGTTGAAAAACCATAGATGAAGTGGCATGGTCCATCGTAGTTTTGGCGACTGCAATCCTTCCACCCAGACGGCCGTGTACGCATTTGTACTCTTGTACGCATCATGTGTAGTCCATGTGATGGACGGCATCATGCAGTCATGCTGCAGCTTGCAGCCGGTATTCTAGCAAGTACCACAGAGCTACTAGATGTCTAGATCTGATGGTAGTTTTGCAATGAGATTCAGAAGGAAAACAAATATTCAATCTTCTCCAAAGTCAAATAACGACTAGTCAGAAGAAACAGCGGTACGCTCGCAGGAGAGGATACCAATTTCAAAAGAGCAGATCTCAGTGAAGTCCATACGGCTTCTTCCCACATGTTCAACAGTTTCAATCCAAGACGAACATGGTTCAGAGTTGTTGTTTTTAGCGGTATAATCATGCTTTGGAGTAGGTTGCCCTCGAAAAGTAAGCTGTTATTATTGAGTAATGTAAACGAACATGGCTTCCCGCCAAAAAATATATAAAATGGCTAAACCATGACAAAGCGATGGATCATTCACCCTTTTCTTCTCTACAGTAAAAAAATAGGGGCAAAGCGAATCATAATCAGGGAGACAGAGAGTGCTAAACTTCACATGGTATGGCACTAAACAGAATCTTAATCATCGTTCCCGCGAATTCTCGGAGGAAGGACACTTGCTAATTATCAATAGCCAAGGGTGTATCATCAGACACCTCTGATACAAATATTCTGCTCTTCAAAGGCAACCACCCATCTGTTGACCAACCCATATGAGATGCTGATGTGAGCTAAGAATAGAGAGGTTGAAAAAAAAAATACCAAATACGATTACTAAGGGTTCAAAGCAAAATAATTCACTTGATCACTATGTACCACTTTTTTCTTTCTTATATACGCACAATTTGTATCTGTACAATTCAGGTTTGCTCAGCAAGTGCAGAAAATGAGCAATACGTTTTCTACACATTACATTTGCAGAGGGATTGACCAGAAGCACGAGCAGGTTCTAGCTCAGAGTCTCTTTGATACAAAAGTGTACGGTACCAAAAGATTTCAATTAGAGCGGTGATTGGCCTGCAGCATTGGCAAAGAACGACAGTTATGTGTGCTGCCTTATGCTGATTAGCTCGATGTCGAAGATGACAGTTCCAAGGGTTGAACCCTCGCCATTTGCGAGGCGCGTCGGATTGAATATAGTAGTAAATAATCTCTGCCGATCAAAGAACTGCACATGAAACAACAGGAAGATTTAGAACCTCCGCGGTGTCTTGTCAAATACATATGCAAGACTCAAGTGGGGATTTTCTTATTCTAAACATCCATATGCATGAGTTGTTAAAACACTAACACATCTCTGAATGCATGGTGTGTGCAACAGAAAGGAACAAGTTGGAAGCTAGGAGTTGCTTATGGTGGAGAAACTCCAGGTGATCATGAACGAAATGATATAACAGATGAAGAATTCTAGGGTCTGGATAGCACGGAAGTTACATTAGGAGGAATTGGTTCCTGTGATGTGTTTTGGTATCCCTGTGTTGGCGGAATGACAACACGGCGAAGACCACCGACTCTCATGGACTTCACTGCTGCTTCAATACCAGGTATAACCTGCAGGGCTCATGCATTAAATTATGGCAAGACTATCAGCCTGAACAAGAATCTACAGATGAAATTCCGGAGAAATGTATTGAGAGGAACATCAGATACAAGAAAGATATCCATCCAGATTATGGCGAACCTCATTATGGCAAGATTACTTCGGAATTTAAGTGAACATCCAGAGCCATAACAAGATAAACTTGTTTTAAGGCGCATTCAACCGTTCTGAAGCTAATTTTCAGTTAGTCTGCGATGACTATGCACCACAAAATAGCAAGCGCAGCTGCTATCATAAAATCAAACATGTGCACAGCAGTGCACAGTGTACTCTCTCATCCTTATTATTTAACCACCGGAACTCTGCGCCATGACTTAGGCATGCTTCTAAGCAAATACTATGGTTAAAAAAAAGGAAATACAAAGCTCATTAGCTACTAGTCCCTCCGTTCCGAATTACTTGTCGCAGGTATGGATGTATCTAGATGTATTTTAGTTCTAGATACATCCATTTCTGCGATGAGTAATTTGGAACCGAGGGAGTAAAATAGAAAACTCTAGTATGCTGTAGCCCCAACCTTTCACCAAAAAGCTCAAATAATATAGTGTAGTATCAGCAGCATAAGATGTGCTCACTTATTTCTGCAAAGAGTTTTAACAAAATTCTTGTCTCACCTTTCCAGACCCGATGGTAAAGACAAAAGGTATCGGATCACCGGTCGCGTCCTTGTGATCATAGGTTGAGTCGAAGCGCCAGCCTTGCTTCGCAGCCAGCCTTCCATAGTAGTGGATTGCAACCTTGAGCCATAAGAACATTTTTGGAAAAAACAGGGAAACCATAAGAACATATTTTGTACCTACTAAAAATTAACATCATTCCAGCCTTTTTTTTACTAGAATGATGTTAAGAAATCCCTGCACTACTATGCATACCATCATCTATAATAAGAAGAAAACCATAGTCTTGTCTGTATCATGGCTAAGTATGGGCAGTGGAGCAGTAAACTAGAGCAATATTTGGTTTTGAAGGTGTAAACTTGGTTAATGGGGACAAGTAAGAAAGGGTGCTGCTAATAAGCACAAACTGTGCAGAAAGGCACCGCTTGTACCTGGTCTCCGTCGACTGGGACCTCGCCGGAACCCTCCCGCAGCTCCAGGGCCTTCACGCCGCCGGAGCTAGGGATCTCGGTGAATCGAGAGGCCGCGGCGGAGGCGGCGGCCGTGGGGAGTGCGGATGCGGCGGAGGCCAGGAGGAGGTGCCTTCTAGTGGCCGTCAGAGGTGGTGCTGTAGCTAGGGTCACGGGTTTTGTTTTCGCGGGAGGCGGCGGCACAGCGCCGGCCACCGCGGAGACGGAAGGGATGACCATGGACGCCGCTACTGTTCCTATTATTTCCTCTTTCTTTTTCTTTGCTTTTGGGTTAGCTTTGAATTTCAACCTCTTTTCCAATTTCCAAAGCGCTGAATTTTATTTACTTAGAAGGAAGATGAGAAAAAAAAACAACTGATGAAATTATGCCCTTAGATATTGGGGTCTTGTTTTTGGAGTTCGAAAAAATTCAGAGGGGGGTTTAACTGTTCACTTAAATGAATTGCATTATTTATGGATGGATGAATGAAGAATGTAAGGTAATTCGGGTGCTTGCTCAATGCTGAGTGTTTGAAGTAAAATTTAGACAACTCTATAATAAAAAAATAAAATTAGTGTACGAAGCATAGTGTAATCAATGTAAGAACTTGATGTTAATTAAGAGTGCGAAAGTTTCCAACATAGATTTTTATACACATTTTTCGCTAATAAAAAACTGGTTACACATTTGTTCTCTGTGTTTGGAACCACAACGTTAGTATATGGGTATGTTTCAAATGAAAAAAGTGATTATGCTCTTTTTCAGAAACATCGCTGGCACTCTTATCTGCTATATACGTGAACATGTATGTGCTGAAAACATGTGGTATAACTTTACTGAAACTTCAATGCTTTAAACACTTTAGTTCACAAAATTTTTGGTCATGAAAACTATGTGAATGCTGAGTGTATGTTCAGAATCTACAACATCAACACAAAAACATTTTAGAAAACCATGACTACTATGATGAAAGGTTAAAAAAGCACAATTGTTGGGGTTAACAGGAACAAAGAATAAAACTAGTGTATGAAACATAGTGTGTTCACAATCATTAGGACGTAATCAATGTAAGAACTTGGTGTTATTCATTTACCGCAAAATAAGAGCGGGAAAGTTTCCAACATATATTTTGTAGGTACTTTTCGCTTACAAAATCTGGTTACGTCTTTGTTCTCTTTGTTTGGAATCATATGTCAGTTACATGTGCATGTTTCAAAAAAAGTGATTATTCTCTTTTTCTATAGACTCAAAAAAGTGGTTATCCTCTTTTTCGTAAACATAGCTTGCACTTTTATCTTGTTTATACATGAGCATATATGTGTTGAAAACATGTGGTGTAACACCGAGACTTCAATGCTCTAAACACTTTAGTATACACCAAAAGTTATACCTTTCATCATGGAAACTATGTAAATGTTGAGTGTATATTAAGAACCTACAACATTTGGACAAAATGTTTTAGAAAACCACGACAATTAGGATGAAAGTAAAAAAAACAATTGTTGGGGCTAAAAGGTACTTCCCAACCAAATCGCATGAACTGAGCTCAACTGATAGCGAATCTGACATCTAGGCTCCACCAATCAGTGCACATGTGTCGTACCTAGGAGCATGTGTTTTGTTTCTGAGGGAGGTCGTGTCACAACGCTAGCCACCGCTGAGGGAAAGTGCTAACCATGAATGTCCTTGTTGTTCCTATCGTTTTCCCTTTGCTTTGGATTATCTTTGACTTCTAGCCTCCTTTTCAATGTCCAAGGCATTGAATTTGTATTTGCTCAGAAGGAAAATGAGAGAAAAGAAGAAGAGGAGAAAACAATGCACCAATGAAATTATGCCCTCGGATATCGGAGTACTGTTTTTTGGATATTAGAATTGACAAACGAGGGGAGGGGTACAATTCAGATGATTGGTTAATATTGAGTGCTTGAAGTAAAGTTGAAATGACTCCATAATAAAATAATAAAACCCATGTGTGAAATTTAGTGTGTTCGACAAATGGGGGGGGGGTAAAATTCAGATGATTGCTTAATATTAAGTGCTTGAAGTAAAGTTGAAATGACTCCATAATAAAATAATAAAACCCATGTATGAAATTTAGTGTGTTCGAAGTTATTAGGACGTAACCAATCTAAGAGTACTTGCATTACTTACCGTGAAATAGGAGTGAGTGGTCTTTCAGCATATTTTTTTCACTAACTAAAGTATGGACTCTTTTGGCATTCTCTTTGTTTAGAGATACACGTTGTCAGATGTGAATTTGTTAAAAAAAATGTTTACCTCTTTTTTAATAGAGAAAATTAGCCTCTCACATAAAGAACCTTTAATTAAGTAGTGAAACAACATGTAAAGGATGAGTGTATGACACAATATCATGATCAAGTTTTATAAAATCGCCACTATTTAGGATAAAAGTTTGAGAAAGCCACAATGATTGGGGCTAAGGCTAACAAGATAGAGTATGCTCATGATCTTACCCCATCTAGTCATACAGAGACTCAGACAAGGCTGAACCCGACTGAATCTGATTCTACCTAGCGTTCAACCCTCATCGACCCCTGTTGCCTACTCCCGCTTCACCAAACTCACACCTCACAACTCGTAGTTGACTCTTTCCTCGCCACCATAACCAATAATCACCTCTTGGCTAGTGGTACACATCCCTGATATTGGCACAGTCTGCATTGAAATCGGATCCAGGACGCCATCTTTTAAGGTGTTGTATTATCACTAACTGTGTGGTATGATCATTAATGTGCTTCGTGGAGTCTCCACTAACAAGCGCTTCAATGTGCATGGCCTCTAGCCAAGGAGCAACGAGTTCCTCCCTCTCATGGTCAAGGTCATGTCAAAGAAACTGCTAGTCATGGACAACATACCAACGGAGAACACCCCACCGCCATTACCATGCATGTACTGGTGAGAAACCGAGGTGAGCTTTTCTTAGAGTTTTACACCACACTCGCATGTCGGTTTTGGTGCACTCTCGCCAACTGTAATAGAGCCGAGTGTTATGCTCGTGCTAAGGCTTATGCTAGTCATGACCTAACTCCTAGGTTGCACTCTCGATGCTCAAGCTTGTGGACAATACTAGCACAACCTTATTCGTTGACGCAATCGACTGTGCCATCGTGCTTGCTCTTTTTGCCACATGCACTGACAGGTGGGATACTGACGAGTCTAATATTTACATTATTTTTACCTCATTTTGTGCTTCAGTAGTTGATGACCCACAAGTATAGGGGATCTACCTTAGTCCTTTCGATAAGTAAGAGTGTCGAACCCAACGAGGAGCAGAAGGAAATGATAAGCGGTTTTCAGCAAGGTATTCTCTGCAAGCACTAAAATTATAGGTAATAGGTAGTTTTGTGATAAGATAATTTGTAACGAGCAGCAAGTAACAAAAGTAAATAAAATGCAGCAAGGTGGCCCAATCCTTTTTGTAGCAAAGGACAGGTCTGGACAAACTCTTATATAGAAGAAAGCGCTCCCGAGGACACACGGGAATATCATCAAGCTAGTTTTCATCACGTTCATATGATTCGCGTTCGGTACTTTGATAATTTGATATGTGGGTGGACCGGTGCTTGGGTGTTGTCCTTACTTGGACAAGCATACCACTTATGATTAACCCCCATTGCAAGCATCCGCAACTACAACAGAAGTATTAAGGCAAAACTAATCATAGCATGAAACATATGGATCCAAATCAGCCCCTTACGAAGCAACACATATACTAGGGTTTAAGCTTCTGTCACTCTAGCAACCCATCATCTACTTATTACTTCCCAATGCCTTCCTCTAGGCCCAAATAATGGTGAAGTGTCATGTAGTCGATGTTCACATAACACCACTAGAGGAGAGACAACATACATCTCATCAAAATATCGAACGGATACCAAATTCACATGACTACTAATAGCAAGACTTCTCCCATGTCCTCAGGAACAAACGTAACTACTCATAAAGCATATTCATGTTCATAATCAGAGGGGTATTAATATACATATATGATCTGAACATATGATCTTCCACCAAATAAACCGACTAGCATCAACTACAAGGAGTAATCAACACTACTAGCAACCTACAGGTACCAATCCCAGACTTAGAGACAAGAATTGGATACAAGAGATGAACTAGGGTTTTAGAGGAGATGGTGTTGGTGAAGATGTTGAGGGAGATTGGCCCCCTCCCAATGAGAGGAGCGTTGGTGATGACGATGTCGATGATTTCCCCCTCCCGGAGGGAAGTGTCCCCGGCAGAACAGCTCCGCCGGAGCCCTAGATTGGTTCCGCCAAGGTTCCACCTCGTGGCGTCGGAGTCTCGTCCCAAAAGCTTGCTTATGATTTTTTCCTCAACGAAAGACTCCATATAGCAGAAGATGGGCATCGGAGGGCCACCAGGGGGGCCACGAGGCAGGGGGCGCGCCCAGGGGGTAGGGTGCGCCCCCACCCTCGTGGCTGGTGAGTGGCCCCCCTCTGGTACTTCTTGCACTCAGTATTTTTTATATATTCTAAAAATAGCTTCCGTGAAGTTTCGGGACTTTTGGAGCTGTGCAGAATAGGTCTCTAATATTTGCTCCTTTTCCAGCCCAGAATCCCAGCTGCCGGCATTCTCCCTCTTTATGTAAACCTTGTAAAATAAGAGAGAATAGGCATAAGTATTGTGACATAATGTGTAATAACAACCCATAATGCAATAAATATCAATATAAAAGCATGGTGCAAAATGGACGTATCGGTAGTAGGCTTTGTCGGATTTACTATGTTCGCGCAACTCTTTTTGCCTGTTTCTGCCAAGATGCCACTTACGGAAGTGTTTGTGAGTTTTGAGGAATGAATGTCAAGATAAGCGACGGAGGCGGCGGCCGTGGGGAGTGCGGATGCGGCGGAAGCCAGGAGGAGGCGCCTTCTTGTGGCCGTGAGAGGTGGTATTGTAGCTAGGGTCCCGCTGAAAGGATCGAGATGGACCTAGAGGGGGGATGAATAGGTACAACTACAAATTTTAATTATTACTTAGCAATTTTAGGAAATAATGCAGAATATGAAATTAAGCCTAACAATCGCAAGTGTGATGCTAAGAGCTAAGCAAGGTAAACTAGAAACACAAGTATGTAAGTAAGCAAGCACAATATGATATAAGTAAGTGCTAAGAGACAAGTAACCACAAGTAGAGAGTTAGGGTTAGGAATAACCGCAACTCCGGGAGACGAGGATGTATGTCGATGTTCACTTCCTTG